ATGGCAGAATGCTTTGTAGTGCACTGTGACACGCTGTGGAAGTCTCTGATCAGCATGCGGCGTGTTGGCATCAGACATCGGTATTGGCGGATATGTACCTGTAAAATATTGGCCCAGAACTCATATATCGGTGCATACCTACTATTTAAGTGCACAATTTCAGACTGTAGTCCGTCTCACAGGGGTGCTGCTGGGATTTTTAGTGTGTCACTTGTTTTAGAGGGAATCGCCTCCCAAAAATATTAAGCCAAGAGTGGATCACTGGAATCCCAAAGAGTCTTACTGGTGTAATAAGAGGAGTCTTGCCTGCATAAGGAAAAAAACATGGTCTCCTGTTGGCAGTCCTACCAACCACTATTAGCAAGGCACCACTTATAGAAAGAAAAAATATTTCCATTTTGATATCCTATTAGTCTGTCATGGGTTAAATAAACAACAGAAAGGTTAATCAACATTGATAAACACTGATCAGGCATAACATTCGACCACCTCCTTGTTTCTACGCTCATTGTCCATTTTATCAGCTCCACTTACTATATAGGTGCACTTTGTAGTTCTACAGTTACAGACTGTAGTCCATCTGTTTCTCTGCATACTTTGTTAGCCCCCTTTTACCCTGTTCTTCAGTGGTCAGGACCCCCATGGACCCTCACAGAGCAGGTTCATTCTCAGCACTGCAGTAACACTGCTGTATTGGTGGTGTGTTAGTGTGTGTTGCGCTGGTCTGAGTGGATCAGACACAGCAGTGCTGCTGGAGTTTTTAAACACCTCAGTGTCACTGCTGGACTGAGAATAGTCCACCAACCAAAATCATCCAGCCAACAGCGTCCTGTGGGCAGCGTCCTGTGACCACTGATGAAGGACTAGAGGATGACCAACACAAACTGTGCAGCAGCAGATGAGCTATCGTCTCTGACTTTACATCTACAAGGTGGACGGACAAGGTAGGAGTGCCTAATAGAGTGGACAGTTATTGGACACAGTGTTTAAAAACTCCAGCAGCACTGCTGTGTCTGATCCACTCAGACCAGCGCAACACACACTAACACACCACCAATACAGCAGTGTTACTGCAGTGCTGAGAATGAACCTGCTCTGTGAGGGTCCATGGGGGTCCTGACCACTGAAGAACAGGGTAAAAGGGGGCTAACAAAGTCTGCAGAGAAACAGATGATCTACAGTCTGTAACTGTAGAACTACAAAGTGCACCTATATAGTAAGTGAAGCTGATAAAATGGACAATGAGTGTCGAAACAAGGAGGTAGTCAAATGTTATAATAGGTCGGTGTATCTAAATTTAATATATTAAATGTATTTTTTGATATACCTGGACCTATACCCAATAAACTATGGAGAATTATGCAATTTCGACGGGGTGTCCTGTTTTAATCGGTGTAGCTTTTCTAGCCTTTACGGTACTTTAGCGGACTCACAGACCAATCGCATGCATTGTAAATATCACACGTGACGCTACTCAGCCAATCAGATCTGTGCACTACGATGAGCACTGAGGCTCGAGTAAGTGACACACACACACACACAGGGGAGGGATGAGGTGAGAAACAGCAGTCGGAGAAGAAAGTGAGTCAGAGGGAAGTTATTTTACATGTCGTGCTCTAAAAAGAGAAAACTGATAATAAATGTTGAAATATGACTGAATTGTACTTTATTTGATGTGTCATTCAGTTGTTGACTGTATAAGATGTTGATAAACCTACTAGGCTACTTCAGTAAACAGTACATGTACATGTTGCAAGTTAGACATTATGATGTTCTGGACCTTTGCTTGAGGAAAGTTTCTCTGAGTGGACCTTACTGAATTTGAATTAAAGACCCCTGTCCTAGAGGACTTGTTCTGCTCAGATTCTTACTAAATGTAAGAATTGTTTTCAACTGTATTAATTACTTTCCATTAGTGTTTCTAGCCTACATGACTGTTTTAGAGCTACTGTGGTTGGCTATGACTGCATTCAGTCAGAGCAGACTTATAATTGAGATGGTAGTGTGAGTGGTGCTGGTGCGAGTGTATCAGATGCAGCCATGTTGCTGGGGTTTTTACACACATCAGTGTCACTGCTAGGGTGAGAGTGGTCATACACAGCCAAAAGTGGCCCAGATGAAGGGCTATAGGAGGGCCAACATTAGTGTTACAGGGTTTATTAACCTAATAAAGCGTACAAAGTGTGTAAAAACTCTAGCAACAATGCTACTATGATGCACTCATACCTGAACCACATGCACTACTTAGGACAGTGTCACTGTGGTGGTCTTTTTCCATTGAAGGAAGGGGTGGGGGGCGTTGAGTAAATTGTGCAGTCTGTTAAATGGCTAAGGAAGGTCAACGTGAGGTATACATTAACTAAGCAAAGGCACAGTTAAAAGAAAATCAGTCACATTTAATGATAAGAGAAACAACAAATAACACACGGTAATAACTACATCAGTGTCTACTATTAGTAGTTTATAAGTATGTGAGACTGTTACCAGGTATAAGATTTGACTAAATGTTGTTTTTTGTTATTATTTATTTAAAGCTGTAGAAAAGCACATGATGAAATATGAACACGTGCAGGGTACCGGGTAAGAGGGAGTGTGTCCGTGTCTGGAAGAAGAGCCGCAGGTGCTACAGAACAGAACCTGGACCGGTTTAAAATACTACATAAAAAACAGAACAACTGCTCTGAGAAGACAAACCAGCTCAAGTTAACCAAAAAAAGAACTACACTCGTCTTACCCTGTAGTGCCATTACAGGCATTTCTTAATTATTTTTTTCTTCAATATAAAGCTTCGCTTGGCTCAACTGTACTTCTTACAAGTATCCAATGTTAGAACAGTGGTAAATCTGAAAAGGTTTTTTTTGGGGTACGTTACAACACTGTGCATGTAGCCCTCTGCCATGCTTTGTTTTTATATCTTAAAGAGGAATTCCGCTGATTTTTCTGAATGCCTGCATTATTCAGTTGTCGAGATGAAGTCAATCAGTGAGTTTTGCTGTGAAATGGTTCATTTTACAGAAATTTTCTGACTCTGAAGTCTTTACAGTGGTGGTGATAGAAACCAGGGGTCACCATGACTACAACACAAATATAGACATCTTATTTACTATCCAGAACCACCGGTGAACCTACACGAGTCTTCTGAGTTTATATGGAATGTTGATGGTAAAATAGTGGAAAATCTGGATTAATAAGTTTTCTTCAACAAGAACTGTTGTGTCTTAGTGTCCTGCATGGACCACTGTGTGGTAGATTTAAAAAACAATTTTTAGGCCAAAACCTTCTAAAACTATAATAAAATGGATCTCAGACATCAGGCAGCATATTCATAACTATTTCATGTACTAACTCTGTGATGGCACTCATCACTGTGAACGACTCTTACTCAGCAGGTTTTTCTAGAATGCTGCCTTTCATGCCAAACCACTGACTTTAATTACACCTTAAAAGGAATTTCATTATGGAGAATTGGTGGAATTCCTCTTGAAAATTTTAAAATGGGCAATTTTGTCAGCGTATCTTCAAATTAATGTTTATGGCACAAATATAGCCATTTTATTTACAATCCAAAACGACCAGTAAACCTACACGTGTTGAGTTTTGTATGGAATGTTGATGATGATGATCTTAAATTGTAAAACAGTGTTTCAGACATTACGCTTTGTATTTCTAACATTTCGTGTAACAGTTTTTTATCTAGGGGAATTTTGGTGTTAAATGCTTTAGAAATCTGGTTTCTGTCATCACAACTGTGAATAAGTTCAGTGTCTGTGTGTATCTTTAAAACGGCACATTCAACATTTAATGCACTCTGAATGACTCTGTTTACATCTTAAAGTGGAATTCCACAGATGTGTTTTTAGGTTTTCCACATTGTTCAATTGTTAAGCTAAACAAACTTTATGACTCAGATTTCTTTACAGTGGTGGTGATGGGAACCAGGGGTTCATGACTACAACACACAAATAGACATTTATTTACTCTGCTAAACGAGTTTTTATATGGAATGTTGGTGATAAAGTAGTGGAGAATCTGAAATCATTTTCTTTAAGTACCTTTCAGCACAGAGTCTGAAGACATTACACTTTAGACCAAACAGCTGTTAAGCGGTGATTGCTTAGAGACTGTAAGCTTTTAGTTAATGAATACTTTTTTAATCCTAAACTCATGTGATGTTCGTTTTCTACAGTTTGTATGCAAATTTAAAACGTTTATCTCAGATGTTTTAAACTAAAGGAATTTAAAGTATACTGTACACTACGCTAATGACATTTCAATGTGTGAAGTGTTACTTGTAATAAGCTTTTGTGTTTAGAGCTCATAGTTTAAAGAAAATAAATGTTTTTAACTGCACATCAGCTTTTTCTTCCTCTCCTGTCATTCAGTGTGTTACATTAGAAGAGTCTTAGCAGATTTTGCCCACTGTGGATTTTGCAGTGATATTTTCAGGATGGAATTTTAGAGCCTAATATTGATTGGTTGAACACACTAAGCACAAAGTGAAAAGGTTACAGATTTTGCATAGTTTCTGCTACGATTTGATTCACAATAAGAATGATTTCCATTTCCACACCTTTTACATACTTTTTTATTTGGAGAACAGAATCCCTGCAGATTATTATACCATCATGTGAGTGTGGGTTCCCAATTTTAAAAGAATGTCCTATAAGTACACTTATCTCAGAATTTGTGTGTGTGTGTGTAATGTTGTCCCCAAAGTGGTCCTAAAAATGTTCCCAAAGGTGAGGTCATTTTTCAGACATGTATAAAAAAGGATTTAACAAAAATCTGAAGTGATTTTGACAAAAACCTGTAACTCTAATCACAACCTATTTTCTCTCTGAACCTAAAGGAAAGTGCTGTTCCCAAAGTTGGGGTGTTTTACCACACGTTCCCAAAGGTTTCCTACGCGAGTGTGTGAGTATCTCTGTGTGTGTGTGTGTGTGTGTGAGTGTGTGTGTGTGTGTGTATATGTGTGAGTGTGTGTGAGTGTGTGTACTTACATTTCTTCGGTCCTGGTTTGATTCTGTTCTCACCTCCATGTTCCAGTCTAAACACACACACACACACACACACACACACACACATTAATATATTCATTCAAATGTTATCATTATCTCTGTCTCTCTTTCTGTCTCTCTCTCTGCCTGTTTATCACACTCAGTTTCTGTCTCTCTCTCTCTCTCTCTCTCTCTCTCCCTCTCTCTCTCTGCCTGTTTCTCTCTCTCTCTCACTCAGTTTCTGTCTCTCTCTCTGTTTTACATTTGTCCAGTGTAAAATCACATCTGTACTCAGACACACTTAAATACACTGATGTGTGATTAAGGTTGTGTGTCAGTCTGTTCTCTGTGTGTAACAGCTGTAAACACATTTATCTGATAGTTTAACACATCCTGGTGTCTCTCCTAAACACATCAGTATCACATCTTCAGTTTGAATCATTTCCTCTTCTAATGGTGGATCTCAGTTTAAACTGAACTGTAATAATCTTCTCTGAGATCTTTATTTTTGCTGCATGAGGAGAGAAAGTGGTGTCTGTTTCTGTTCTGAGCTGCTCTGATTACAGAGTCATTCTTCTCTGGGCTCCAGGGTTTCCTATGGAGCCTTTTCTACATTATGATCTCTGAGTCTGTACATTTTAAAGTGTTTCTTTCTTCAGGATCTTTATTTTAATCAGATAATCTGATTAAATCTGTGTGTTTCTCTGTTCAGGAATCTGTAACATTCTGATTTACTAACTTAGGAAATTTCATTGATCCAGTTATTGATTTATTGTTTTTGGTGTGAGTTGTGTTGGTGAGAGAGTGAACTGGGCTGTGATTAAAGGTGATTATCTTTGAGGGGTCTGTGGGGGTCTAAGGGGGTCTGTTTATCTTTGAGGGGTCTGTGGGGGTCTAAGGGGGTCTGTTTCTGGGTGTGTGCAGTTGCTGAGAAACACTGTGTGGTGGTCTGACTCTGGCTGTGATCAGTGAGAGTGGGATTGTAAAGCTCTTTGTAGTGGGTCGACCAATGTGTTTTTCAGGGCTGATACCGATTATTAGTAATCAGGGACACCAATAACCGATATTTGGAGCTGATATTCATTTACTATAAATTTGATGTTTGTAGTGTGAAAATGTACAAGAATGAAACTCACAACTTACAGTAAATGAATATTTGAACAGAAAATCATCACAATACACTCTCTAAACACCACACACTCTACACACATTCCACACACTTCACACCCAACACACACTTTACACACCACCCACCCTACATACATCACACACTCCAAACACACCTCACACTCCACACAGTTATTACACACACACCTAGCAACCAACTGGGAAACCACAGCAAATGGCTAGAGACACGTTACCAACCACCAAGTAAACCATAATAACCATTTGTTAGCACCCAGCAACAAAAAGGAAATACATTTTACTAGTTTCATTTCGTTGTTCAAACAAAAAATGTATAACATGCGATAACAAACAGTAGTTGGAGGTGTTAAATGCATCAGATGTAAATATGCTGCATGAGTCGATAGAAACAGCCCATTTAGCCTAAACAGAGTGGTGGAATTTTTGGAAGTCGCGACCTGCAGCTGTTTGTACTTTTAACCAGTGAAAATAGAAATGAAAATGACCAGAATTGTCTAGAACCTATGTACTAAATGTAAAATGATAAGTTATGATTCTATAAATAATTCACTGCTTTCTGGAGGCTTGTCGGTGTAGTTGGTCCACTGAAGCTCCATTATAGGCACAAATATTCTGAACACATTCAAACTACAGAAGCAGTGTGGATTTGAGTCCCATATGTGTCTTTTTGCTAAATTATCGGTCCCTATATTTCACTGCCATATAAAAGTATGAATTTAAATACACAAATAAACATTTAAGCTGAATTTGAATTGGTGGGCTGAGTGTGTTCACTGATCTTTTAAAATTCTTTCTTGCTTTTTCTACCAATGCATTCATAGTCCTGCTAAAGTTACCAAATGCACTGATTCTCTATGTAATTATATTCCATAATGTGCTGTAAAGAGGTCCCACCAAATGTAAAGTGGAACTATGATTTGTGTGATCTGGCTTTTTCTGTTGAAAAATCTTTTGGTTTGATTGATGTTGATGTATAACGCTCAATTTTGACAGTATTCTTCTAGTAGGGTTCAGTGTTTTTGTTGTGCTGTAGGAGCTGCAAAACCAGATCATCTGAGGGAATTTTATTTAGTTAACAATTTATTGAAGCCTATATTACAAATCATATTCATGTCAAGTAAAGTCTGACTTAACGTCATGTGTAGTTTTAATTACTGTTACTTTATCATTCACCAAAAAAACAAACAAAAATAAACAAGTAATTTGCTCAATATTAGAATGAAACATTAAAATGAAATCATTAAGTGGCCATTAAATGAAACCTATTATGCTCATTTTCAGTGTTCATAGTTTTGTTTTTGGGCTCTACTAGAACAGATTTACAGCTTCAATGTTCCAAAAACACATTATTTTTCTCACCCTGTTCATCTCTATTCACCCTCCGTCTGAAACACTCTGTTAGAGCTCCTGTGTCTTTAAGCCCTGCCTCCTGATGAGCCCAGTGAGCTCTGATTGGTCAGCTCGCCCACTCTGTTCTGACTGATCAACTGCCAAAGCAGTTCCGCCCCTACATGTTCCACCCCTGTCTAGAACACTTAGAGCAGAGAGAGGCCACAGCAGCAGACAGGATGAAGCACTTCAGCTGCATTCATACAGAATCCTTCACTCAGGGCTGTGAGGAGGTGTTGGAGCGTAAACATGAAACAATCACAACATAAAGCTTATTTATCTGATTCACTGCCTTGTTCTCACTAACGCTGTTCTCTCTCTTCATTCAGTCTCTAGCTCGCTCAGCCACCACTGCTCTCGCTCTCTCTTTCTCAGACAATTCTGAACGGTGTGTTTAAACAGTGTCCAACAAATTCTGTTAATTCTGCCTTTAGGGAGCTGAATAACGCCTCACTGTCTGTCTCTGTGACTGGCTGCACTGTTCAGAGTGGATTCAGGGCAGGCAGTGAAATTTGAGCACAATGATAATAAGAATGGCTCTGAAGTCCGACTGGGCTCCCTTCATTCTTACCAAAGAGCCGCTGAAAAGAACCAGATCATTGGTGACCGTAACATCACTAGCAGACAGACTCTTCTCTCCTGAGCAGCTGTAACTCCGCTGTGGCTGTTTCTCCAAGAGCGTCAGTTCTGCTATATCAGTTTGATCCAGAGTCGATCCTGGAAGTCCGGTCAGCGTCTCCACACGGTTACACTGAAAACACTCCTCTGTGAGGGCGAGCAAAGCAGTGAGGACTGTTTTACGAGATGACGTCACCTTGTAACAGAGAAATGGGCTGGAATTCCAACAAGGCGTTTCAGGCAGCTGAGAAAAGTGGTTTCTGTGGGACAGAGTTTCTCCCTCTGATGTGAACTTTGAGCTTTATAACTTTGTAGATTGTTTTCATGAACAAGAAGCTACAAACACACTAAAGAAAAGAGAAAATCCAGAAAATCAAAATAAAAAAAAATAAAAGCTCTTTAACTGAAGTATCAGGTTCACATTTAGTGACTTTTAGTTTAAACTTTTCTGAAAGGGACACCATGAGAATTGATCTTAAGTCAAAGTTTATTTATGTGGCGCTTTTTACTACAAGTGTTGTCACAAAGCAGCTTTACAGAAAAAATATCTGTGTCCAAGCCCCCATGAGCGTCGCCAACGGCGGCAGTGGCAAGGAAAAACTCCCTAATAGCACGAGGAAGAAACCTTGAGAGGAACCAAGACTCAAAAGGGGAACCCATCCTCCTCTGGTCGACCGATAGCAAACAGCATCAGTATAAAATATTAGAATATAAAACAGGGAAAAACAGGCGAAGCAAAGGTTAATTAAGTGACATCGGTTAAGCATTAATATGCATTTGTTAAGTATTATTATCAACTTTTTTTATTATTTTCAATAAGAATTGTGTAGCACATTAATTAGTGTTTAACTGTGATTGAATAATGTTACTACGAGCTCAATTGCATTATCAAAGCATTAATAATATAGATATGATTTCATCTTTACAAAAAGAGTAACAGCAATAATTAAGGGCTATACGTGCTAAAGTAAAGCTTATTAAGTACTATTAACTTATTTTTAAGGGTTAATTAAGGAATTCATGTTTTAAATTAAAACATATACATTCTTAAATATAAACACATTATAAACACTCATCCTCACAATATAAACACTGACCATCACAATATAAACGCTGATCCTCACAATATAAACACTGACCATCACAATATAAACGCTGATCCTCACAATATAAACACTGACCATCACAATATAAACGCTGATCCTCACAATATAAACACTCATCCTCACAATATAAACGCTGATCCTCACAATATAAATGCTGATCCTCACAATGTAAACACTGACCATCACAATATAAACACTGACCATCACAATATAAACACTGACCATCACAATATAAACACTCATCCTCACAATATAAACACTTATTCTCACAATATAAACACTCATCCTCACAATATAAACACTTATCCTCACAATATAAACACTGACCATCACAATATAAACACTCATCCTCACAATATAAACACTCATCCTCACAATATAAACACTGATCCTCACAATATAAACGCTGATCCTCACAATATAAACACTCATCCTCACAATATAAACACTCATCCTCACAATATAAACACTGACCATCACAATATAAACACTGATCCTCACAATATAAACGCTGATCCTCACAATATAAACGCTGATCCTCACAATATAAACACTCATCCTCACAATATAAACACTGACCATCACAATATAAACACTTATCCTCACAATATAAACACTCATCCTCACAATATAAACACTGATCCTCACAATATAAACGCTGATCCTCACAATATAAACACTCATCCTCACAATATAAACACTGATCTCCCAATATAAACACTGACCATCACATATAAACACTTATCCTCACAATATAAACACTCATCCTCACAATATAAACACTGATCCTC